TTTAAACTCGTTCCCAATGATTTAGTCACTCCACACCAGGCACCTAAAGGAGGAAACAGGCATTACACCCTCCATGTGCACAGTCACAGCAGGTCATTATGGTCAGAAATCTTCATGTCATTCTGGCCCAGACAATGAGGAATAGGATATAAAAATAAGACTACAGATAGTAATTCACAGAATGTGCAATTTCAACATGTATTTGCAAGATCCTGTCTTCTTAATGATGGCTTACAAGGTACCACAAAACTGTTGCTGGAAGAGGGAAGGAAGCCAAGAAAGCATTATAGGATTTTTCTGCTAGCTTTCTATTAGTTTCTAAAGCCCTAAAAAAGCTTCAGAATCACTGAAAGCTTCTCCTCTACTACTTCAGATTTTTGAAAAAGCTTTTAAGCTCCCTACTTTTCCTTTTACCTGCCTTAACTCAACCACCTTGGTAGTGTTATGAAACTTGCCAATTTTTGCTTTAATTAGAACTGTACATAAATACCCCTGAGACACTCAAACATTCTATCACTTCCCTGTTTGTTATCATTTTGAAGTTATTTGGAAGTTGCTACAGGTACGACTGAAACTCAAGATGATAACAAGTGACATAAGATCTCCTGTTTTCTTCTATCGTACCCTGAAGTTCTGCTTGACTGTTAATATGTATCTGAAGCTCTCCCAAATAGTATTTCGGTTCTAGAAATGGTCACAAAACAGGGTGCAAATAAAGATTTAGATGCTTTAAAGTCAAAGGGATGGTGAAACTCTAATGAAGAGAGACTGTGTAAACCCAAAGCTCATGAAATAATGAAAGTATTAATATACATTCCAAAGTATTTCATATGCATGTTTAAAATTTTATAAAGGCAGGTCACACTTGCAAATATTGACTGTTTCCTTCTAGTGAAATGCATGATGCACAGTAAAAGCGTGCAACAACCTGTAAGTTATCCCAGTGCTCAGGTCAGAACATAATTCCACAGTATGCTTTACACAGAACTGTTCTGCTTTATCAGTTTATGCCTCCTCTTTTATTTAATTTTGTTTTCCTCAGCTCTGTAGTTAACAGCACTGGTCACCATGCAAACTCAGAAATTTATGTTTAGAAATGTAGGTATCAAAACCTGTAGAAACAAAATATTAGTCTTTAAAATTGTTTTCATACCAGTTGATATTTGCCAGTTACCTGAGTGTCTTTCCACCTGGTAATAAAGCTGTTCTCTATATCCATTTGTTTGACATGGACTTCATTTATCTGTTTAAAAAGGATAATTTTTGATCAATTAATATACATATGTGAGCTAGTATAAAAATTACAACATAAACAAAAACCCACTGATTTAATAAACTAAGATAAATACAAATGTAAATATAGAGGCATGCTAATATCTCACAATAGTAAATAGTAATGTAACAATAAAATACACTGTTACAATTAACAATACTGTTAGGCATGTTCTTATAGAAGCAGCTATGCAAATTATCCTACCATTCAGAAAGAGCACTTAGATTCACTCTTATAAACTTTACCAAATACGTATTAGAAGAGAGAAGACTCCATGAAAAACTGCCAAACAATATTATAGTGGCACAGTAAACTCTAAACCAATACGGATAATACGAATCGCTGCTAGTAGTACCTCTTCCATCAAGTTGAATTTAATGTTCCTTCTAGGCCTAAGGATCCAAACATTTTCTCTAGTCTTTACTGTAATCACAGCTCAGAGAGCTATGCTACAGTTCTGATCAGGACCATAAAACTTGAATAGAAGTATTATTTTTAGTAGTCATAATCTTAAAATTTTCTTAAAATTGGTATGCTGGTGTCAGCAAGAAGAATGTGCACCATTTTGGAAAACAGTAGCTCACAGCAATCTTATAAATATACTCTTTCCTACACAGGCTAAGCTAGCTAGGAAATAAAATTTAAAGCAGACAAAGAACAATGAATTGGAGTTCAAAAGCCCTGCAAATCCTCAAACAGTGTAACTAATAGCAAGATCCTCTTTAAGAAGATTTCAGTATTTCAACATCTCTAACACTGAGCTATTAGATATATAAAGATACCTACATCAAAAAGTTGCACATAGTTTTTAATTAGATCTTCAATTACATTAACTTCTTCACTAGTTTGGCCTTTAGTTTGAAATAAGCATGAGGAAAACACCATGGCTAGACTGTGAGGGTTCATATGATTGATTTCAGAACACTTCTGCACCCTGTTGAAAGAAAAATAAACACATTTAGAAGGTTTCATCGTTCCTTTAATTGTCTGAGGCTTCACTACAGAGCATGGAGTGCATTTCAAAAAGAGCAACTACATTAAATGCAATTAAAAAAATCTAATATTATTTATTTACTTATATTCATTATCTCATTACAGAAATTAAACTTAAACTTTCTATCTGCATCTCAAGTGATATCAAAATTATTTTGAATAGAATAAAAATAGAATATTGGAAGTTGGAAGGGACCTACAGCAACAATCTGTCTGACTCTGGGGCTGACCGTAAGTTAAAGCATTGTTATTAAAGGAACTGTCCAAATGCCTCTAACACTAATAATCAAAGTTGTTACATGCAACACAGATTATGAAGAAGGACATTTTCCCTGAAAACTTCTTTTAATTTGAAGAGCCATTTGCAATAACCCTCTGGAAGACTAATGGACTGGGGTAAAATGACTTCGCATAAAGAAGCTACATCAAAAATTACCCTACTTGGACACATATACTGGCAGCCCACTCACGTAAGGCTGTTCCATCCCACTGATATTTGTAGGTACCTACCGCTAAAAATACAGCCATATAAAAAAACATTATAAATTAAGGGGAATCAAATATAATTAATCCTCAAAACTAGGTAAGCTTCTGATGCTTACTAGTTAATGAAACAAGCCACATTGCATTCATGGTTATACTGAGAACACATTGAAAGAATTTTTCTGCTACAGTGCATCATTTGCAGTGACCTGTAAAGATGTTCAATTAAAGCAGCCAACGTTGCCCTATTGACTGGTGGAAGCGTCCGAATAAAAGCTCCATACTTGCTCACACGTTCTTTTTCATTCTGTGTATCTGCCAGGAAATAATAATCATTGAGTGTTAATAACAATGCACACTAAAAACCAAGAGTAGTTCTCATTGACTATATTGGCATCATCTAGTCATTTAAAATTACAATTTACCCAATCAACCTCTTCTTCATAAAGGCAATACTGACAACCTACTATTAACGACGTCTGTTACTGTACACCAGTTCAGAGAAACATTACCAGCAATAAGGGGGCCAGTTCTATATTCAAGCACCATTTGATACCGTTTAAGACTAAAACCCAGAATAGGAATTGCTTTTCCTCTCAAAAAATATTTAATTTTGAGGTTTTTTTTGTGTAAATGCATGAGTGCATCTGCGTATGAACAAGTGAAAATTACTTCCAAGAGTTCCCAGAGGTTAGAAAGGAAAGCACCGTTTCATTTTTTTAATTTTTATTGGAAAAGTGTCTCAAGGCCTAAAGTAGTTTAAAGGTCCAAACACAGAAGATTGATAAGAGGAGACCAAAGGGGAAGGCGTGGTGAATAAGTTGTACGAAGTTGAATAGCTGAACCGTGGCAGAGCTGATGACAGGAATTCCAGTCTTGGGACTTACAGTATCTGAGATACAGCCACAGCTCTCTACCTTCAAGTCACATCTGCCTCCCTGTGCTGCATAGATACTACAAAGCATCATCCTACTCAGGGTGTGAGCAAACAATGTAAATTTTTTTTAAATTTTATTTTTATTTTTCTTCTCAGTCCCTTGCTTCTTTGAAGTTTCTGAATAGAATCTCATCTCTTCTAGCTGATTGCTAGCACTCTCCACTAACTGCTGCACTATATTTTGATTTCTTCAATAATTGGAAGAAAAAATAAACAAACAAACAGTTTAAAGGTTTTCTCTATCTTCCTACATGTTTTATTCTTCCCACAAGTACTTTCAGTGTCACTTATCTATAACAGGAGAGGATTCTCTGCTGTAAAGCTGAGGCACTGGAACAGGCTGCCCAGACAGATGGCTGAGTCACCATCACTGGAGGAATTTAAGAGACATGCGGACTAAGTGCTCAGGAACACAGTTTAGTGGTGGTATTAGCAGTGTTAGTTAAGGGTTAGACCTCATGATCTTAAAGGTCTTTTCCAACCTAGAGATGCCATGATTTGCAGTTTTATAGCACAGTGTGGGAAGGAATTTGTTCTGTAAATGTAGCAATATAGAAACAAATAGAAACCTAAGAAATATAGTGTAATAACACTATAAAAATAATCACAATTTATGTAATTAGTAACTATTTAATGTATTTAGCAATTTCATAGTTCTGTTTTCAACCATACAGAAACACACATCCTTGTGTTTTAAATACATCACAAGTTACAGTTTGGGATGAAGGTTTGTGTTTGGTGTTGGGGTTTGTTTTGTTTGGTTGGTTTTCTTTCCCCAAATTAAACTAATCTTCCTAAGGAAACAAAAGATAAGTAACAGTTGTTAACAAGGTCACATCATTAACATGCATAACTTTTTGTGAATATTTATAAAAGATATTTGAAGAATTTAAGCACCAAGACTGTCGTTTAACTATGCAGATGATAGCATCAACATTTTACCACTTTTCAACTAAACTTCTACATGTGGTCAAAACACAGAGCGCACTCTTATTTTCTAGGCTAATGTTTGTCTATTTCTTGAATCCGAGTATCAAAGCTTCTGTAAAATATTAATCATGACTTCTTACCTTGGCTGATCCAACTATGACACAGTGCAATACTGGTCTAATGTTTACATTTATATTGTCAAGGAAACATTGCTATTTGTTATTATTTTATCTCACTTAAAGGTCCTGAAATCACCTCTGATTAACATAAGACTACTGCAGCCAACCTTTAAACATTTTTTCCTCACTACAATTGTTTTGCCAATTATCAAATAACATAGGTCTACACAGGGCAAGTAATTAACCACCCTCTAAAATTTGATACTGACAATGTACATACAACCTTTCCTGTATTGAGCGTTACTGAATACATTACCTAATGCAGAGATCCAGAACGGATAAAGTTCTTTAGTGAGAAGTGCATCATCTATTTGAGAAAGAAAACTTTTCAATACATCAGTCACTTCTTCAAGCTGGTGTTTTCCTGCTCTTAGTTTAACGCTCCTTGCATCTTTTTTGAAGCTTTCTAGCAGTTGAGCCACATTGGAAGAATCTCCATTCTTAAGGTAGATCTGCTTGCTACCTAAACCTAAGTTACAGAAATACAGGACAGAAAAATAAATAAATACAAAGTCACGTGTTCTTTTAAAAATTCCAAACATTATTATATGAAATGCATATCTGGCTGTCAAACACATCATATTTCCTACTAAAATCTCTCTGACCTTTTGCACATACTCACTTCATTAGTAAAAACATTGCCAGGTCTGCTTATACCCTACCAGACCTTTTTTCAAAGATGCACAACATAATATTAAGCAAGCCTGGGATCGCAACTTCAGGAATACTTTACAGGCAATTAAAATCCCCAAAGATCTTCAGGAATACCTAAAACAATGTTTTCAAATGGCACCATAAAGGAAAGAAGTTCTGATGACTAGCACTGTATTGCACTTAAAACACAAAACAGTCCAGTATTTTATTACTCTACTGATCAACTCCACTTAGGACTCTGTTAAGTATTATTATATTCATCCAACCTGAAACATTTCACTCTCGAGATTTTTAACACTATTAGAAAGTACTCCTTTTTGCTGACTTTTCTGATCTTCAGGAAGACATTAGGTAGCCGCTATTCTTGTATTTAACAACTAAAACCACTAAAGCCCAAAGCCAACTTAAAAGAAAATTCATAGTCTAAACCCAGTCAAGACTACCTTCAATCACTGCATGAGAGTAGCCAAAACGTGGTTGGTTTTGGTGTTTTTTTTTGTTTGGTTGGTTGGGTTTTTTTGGTAGAGGTTTTTCCCACATTCCCCACACTTCTTGAAAAAGAATCATATTTTATACAAAACCTTGCTTTTCTTATGTACCTGTCAAACTAAGTATGCCATCAAAACCTATGCAACCAAGTTCTTGCAATTCATCTTTCTTGTAATGCCCACAGATACTACCGTTTGATACTGCTTTTGTGTTGTTACGGTCAGGAACAGCTGTGGGACATAGTGTCTGTCATCTGTAGACCACAACTATAGACAGAACCTTCACCTTGATGACACAACAAAATGTATGCATACAAGTAATGTATACAAATAATTCCTTCAGCTTTCAAATAAGTATTTTATCACCTTTATCAGTAAAGCTGACCCTGAAAAACATATTTATTAATAAAGATAAAACTTATTTAAAAGACATCAGGAAATGGAATTTTAATTTAGAATACACACAAGTGATTGTTCGAAGTGGTGGATATAATTACCCTGCTTTAACAACATTTCACTGCACCAACAGCGTAAACTATATTTAGAATAATTCCTATTGCTAATGATTAAAAAATAAACTTAGCAAAAACTTTTTTTTTGTTTTATGGAATAGTTGTAATCCACGCACAAGTATTCCCCATAATCAAAACATATTTAGTTAAACTTCAATTACTGAAATATAAATTAGGCCCTCTCATAGTGAGAAGAGGTTACAGATACATTCATCCTGAAGACAGATTTGAACAGAGCTGATCTTCATTTAGCACTTCACAAGAAAACTGATGAATCTCAAGTAGCAAAAAGGACACAGGCATCATCTGCATATGCTCTAATGTTATGGAAAGTTATGCTGGCAAAATTTACTTAAACAAACAGTAACTGACTACATTCCCTAGGTTATTATGCTGAAAAAAATCCCAGATGTGCTGACTAGTCCAGTTCCTAGTTTACCTAGCTTATTTTCAGGGCTGAGAGACAGGACCCCAAGGCTGAGCTACATCAGACAAACAAGTCAATTTTTAAAATAGGAAGGTGTCTATAAAGGGCACCTAGCAAGCTGTATTTGCACAAATTGCCCATTCTCAGTGGGGCGGCAGTGTACTTCAGCGCATCAAAGAGCAGTGAGGCTAATGAGGGTTATGGGTTTACTTTACCTAAAGTATAAACTCATTCAATAGGACCTGACCATGTGTGGCCTGAGGTATTATACAAATGATATTACGTTGAATAAAATCCACTATACTTACCATACTGTGTAACAAATGCTATACAGCTGTTCACTATAATAGGTACGTCGTTTTTGCTGAGCTGCTGATCTTGTAATGCGTTACCATCTGTACCTGCTGCTTTTTCAATTGCAGTATACCAGACCATGAAATCCAGCTTTGTATGGCCATGGATGTATAGTGTTCTGAAAGGTATAAAAATATTTTGAAGGCAGGAAAAGAAATAGAAAATGGATTTTATTGTACTACAGCAACATAGCAGATGTCCAGAAAAAGAATCAGAAATACTTAGAATAAAACATCAAGGCACCTTCCACCACATAAAGCTGTGGTGGTGGTCTATTGCTACATCATACTTCTCTTCAATTACATTTGTACCGGCAGTGTCACAATAAACGAGAGAAGATCCACAAACACTCTTGAAAGGACCTGAATAACATTTTAATTATGCTTCTTCAGTCTTCCTCATGCACTGTACATTCATATGTCCAAGTCACAGTTAAGCAGGAAACAGGTTTAGAGACAACTTTCAACACTGGAAAAGGCTTTCCTCTTTTTCTATTCCCCACCCTCCTACACTTCTGCAGAGGAGCTGAGACCTACAGAACTTCTCTCCTTCACCTGTATCAAAATGATCACCCTCAGGAAATCACAGAGACGTATGAAAAATCTAAGAGTTGAGGTAGAATAAGTTAATGCAGCACTTCAATTACCTGTTTGTGTCAAAGCATGGTCCTGTTCTAATTTTATTATTTAAACATGATGTTTACCCCGACAGGTTAGCTTTTGAATTTTGGAATTGTCTCTTAAAATCTCAGTGTATGTCCACCTGTATGTATGTATATAATAAACAACTGTTTTAAGTGTTAAAATAGCAGTAAACTTTTCTACATACATACATTTCTTTAGCAGATGAAGAGTAAGGGATTCATTTTCTTAACTGACAATTTATCTGCTAATTTGGAAAAGTAAAAATGCTCTACTGAACTTCTATGAAAATAATGTCATCAAATTCACAGAATCATGGAATGGTTTCGGTTGGAAGGGACCTTAAAGACCATCTAGTTCCAAGCCCCCTGCCATGGGCAGGGACACCTTCCACTAGACCAGGTTGCTCCACGCCTCGTCCAGCCTGGCCTTGAAGACATCCAGGGAGGGGGCATCCACAGCTTCTCTGGGCAACCTGCTCCAGTGCCTCACCACCCTCTCTAGGAAGAACGTCCTCCTGATATCCAATCTAAACCTCCCCACTTTCAATTTAAACAAAACATTAATTTTGATTCTTTTATCTGGGAAAAAAACCAACCAAAGCATCTTATATAATGATAGAATACTATTTCTTTTTATTAGCACCTTTCAATAAACATTCTTGATAGGAAGTGAGAATGCAGACAATGTACACACACAGATCAAGGATCTGAAGTATTCCCAGGATCCACCATACAGGCTTAGCCATACAGTAGCAGAGTAGGAGAAACTAAAATATTTCATCTGACTAAAGCTGCATTTTACAAAGTCTCTATTCCATGACTTCAAAAGTCATATGAACCACTACAGATGCCTGGCTAGTAGAAACAGCCAGCCTCTCTCTTCCATGAAGAAAACCCAGTAATTTTCATAAAAGCGCTCAAATTTTTACAGCAAAATGAATGTGCCTAATTCAATACTTTCAAGCATTTTCTGAAGACCTGTCAGAATAGATATCTTACATGGGTGGTTCTCAACCAATGGCTTCCAAACCCTGGCATCCTCCAGTATTGGTGCAGCCATATATAAGAGGAAATGAAAAAGTTTGAACTGAGTTGTAAAGAGCTTAACACTGTATGTTGCACTATCCCTTTAGTACTATTATTCACAGATCAGCAGAGGTAAGACTATGATTTATAGAAGATTTATGGTGCTTTGAGATGCACACACATGTGCATATGACTGTGGTTTTATTTTTCCTGCAGAACAGCAGGATTTGCATTATGGTATTATGCAAAAGGATAAATGGAAGTCTCCACAGATTATTTTTTGTTATCTAAAGAATTATGATAGGTACAGGAAGAAGCATACTGTAAAGTGAAAATATTATTACTTCTAAACAAGAAAAGGGCAAGCCTGCTGTATATCATTGTATCACACCCAGAGGAGGAAAGAGGAAATACTGTAGTGTATTGAACTGCAAAGGTAATTTAAACTTATCTATATTTATTCACAGAAATATGAAAGTCTAAATAATGTGACTGTCAATCAACTATCGTCATATACAAATTACCTAAACTATGTCAAAAAGACCATCTTGTATTCTATGGATCTTCACAACTTCCCCTCAAATGCATCACATTAGAAAAAAAAAAAAAAATCAGAACTACCAGGAGATGATGCTTTCATTATTTTTAAAATTTGCAAAGCACTCAAATTAAATTCAAGTTACAGAGGAAGAGGTTAAAAATTAACAAAGAAAATGGGGTATCAGTTTACACAGCAGTCGTATAGCACTAATACAGTCATGAAAGAGAAGTTGCTGGTAAAAAATATGAACGTAAAAAAATCTTGCTGCTATTGAGGAACTCACATTGTTCATGAAAGATGCATTGGGTGTGCGTGGCAAGGTTTTGGTAGCTGGAGGGGCTACAGGGATAGATTCTGTGAGAAACTACTAGAAGACTCCCCTATGTCCAACAGAGCAAATGTCAGATAGCTCCAACATGGACCCACCACTGGCCAAGGCTAGGTCAATCACCTGGGGTGACAGCACCTCTGGGAGGGGAAACAAAGAAAAGCAACTGCAGCTGGAGAGAGGAGTGAGATGCGAGAACAACAACTCTCCAGGCATCAAGGTCAGTACAGGAGTGGGAGGAGGTGCTCCAGGCTCTGGAGCAGAGATTCCCTGACAACCCGTAGTGAAGACCATGGTGAGGCCGGCTGTGCTCCTGCAGCCACGGAGGGTCACGGTGGAGCAGAGACACACCTGCAGCCTGTGAAGGACCCTACACCAGAACACAGGGAGTTCTGAGTGTTGAACTCCCTGAACAAGCCGAGTCCATTTTGCCTGTGACAGCAGTTGCTAAGTGATCTCTCCCTGCCCTTACATCGAGCCACAAGCCTTTCATTGTATCTTCTCTCCCCTGCCTAGCTGAGGAGGGTAGTAACAGAGCACCTTTGGTGGACAACTGGGCTCCAGCCAGGGTCAACCCAGCACAGAGGACAACTAATTGTTTTGGAAAAAAATTATTAACTTTGCCCAGTCAAATATCTCCAGAGCAGTTACCTAAAAGTCAGATAAGTCTGAGAAGCAATTTCAACATTTACTAGGTCACCATAAAATAGAAGGGAGAAAAGGAAATTAAACCAGTACCAGACATTCAGAATTCAGCCGTTTCACTGTGGAAGTGGCTTAGAAAGCAAAACATACAACAGTGTATGATTAAGGCTCAACATTCCTTCTAATTTTAATTTCTTTCAACCAAACTTCAATTTTTTTTTTTTTCTCTACTTGGAAACCATTTGTTGATCTCCATGAACCATGATCTTTCAGACTACCATACCATGAAGGCTGTATGAAAAAGGGAAATAGTTACCAGCAGAAAAGCAGAACTTTCAGTACAGTGGAAGTCTTACAGAGAACTTCACGAAGTATTAGAGGCAGCTTTGCACATCTAGCTTATGCTTTTCATGCCAATGTCATCATCTTTTCCACACAGCTTGTAGAGGCAATACTAATAGCAAATACATGTACTTCTCACTGAACTAAATGCTAATATCAAAATAAAAAAAATTCGTATTAAATGCAAGGCTTAAGACTAAAGCGTATAAACAAAGACTGAAGTGTACTCATGTCCCACAAAACTGAGCAACTTAATGTCATGAATACTGCTAAACTTAGAGCAGCAATCATGTTGGAAAGATTTTTTACGGCAGTGTTTACAAAGATCTACCTATCATGCAGACTAATAACTACTTGGCACCAAAATGCACTCCTGCCTTCTACACCATGGTTACATATGTGCTAATTCTTCCAGTTCACAAAATTGATAAAGAGTACACAATTCACAGCAAATAGTTAGAAACATGGTGAATAATGGCAGAGTTTTTGCTCCATTAAGTGTGAAGTAGACACAGTCCATACTCAAGAAATTAATAATTTAAATAGTCAAACAAACAAGATAGCCCACCAATGCACATTTCTGCCTTAGTGAACTGAAGCAATTGAATTGGCACAAATAACTGCAGCAATCCAAGGTCATCTAGTCTCAACATCAAGGAAGTTACTGTTTGCTTTTCAACTTTATCATGGACTACCATCACATCCTTCTGCACTTGCAGTCACAGAAACAGCATACATGAGCACACGTCATGCACAACAGTGCAAAGGCTTATCTCTAACCCATGCTGCAAAGCCCACTGGCTTTAGCTATGTGTGGGTGCTTTGTTGCACAACTCTGCACTGGTAAAGCAGTGATACTAAGTGATTCTGGGTAAGGTTGTGGGGAGGAAGGGTGAGAAACAGACATCAGCACAACTCAGTGGCCCCCAGCATTTTCCAAATGATTCTAATAATCTACGTGTCTGAAAACAGAGGTACTGGGAACACATGTATTGCTATGAAATTATACCAGAATAATCAAATTGCAACTAAAGCATAAAAATCCAACTAATAATTACAGATATATAACAAAGGTCAACAGTATTTAATCAATGGATATTAAGGGTCTTGTATCCAAGCATGTCATACTGGAAACACAAGACCTTTATCTGAGTCTTACGCTTAGATTATTTCTGGATTCTAGAATTTTGTGCTTATAACTGTATTTTAGAAGAAATCTTACTGCGATCATCAAACAGTTAAGAAGAAAGCATTGAAATTAATGAAACATCAGCATAAAGAAATTTGGCCACGACGTAGGGAAGGTTTATTATCTATAATAAGAAAGAGCTAACTACAAAAGTAGTATACTGGAGATAAAAAGAAAGCACCATCTGGATTGTACTATGGTCTGAAAACATTCACTGACACCTAAGAGAGCTTAAATGATTACAAAAAACAACCCAAAGATCTGAAACTAAACTGTCTACACAACTGTTTTTCCATGATGTATGGCATTAGAGATTTTTGCAATAAACTTTATATATAGAAGATATATTTAAAAGTTACCGTATGTAGTTGTTTTCAGTCACCTTTCCCCTCTTCAGTGTACAGTTCCCTGTGTCGACCTCTACTGAACTAAACAAGAATAGCTTCTTCACCTATGTACTATGTTATTTCTGTTTTGGATGGCAAGAAGAGATGGAGCATCATGAGTAACTTCACAATTTTTACAGATAGATCAAGGGGAAAAAAACCCCAGACCGAATATGGAGCCAACCAGAGTACATCTCCGTGTGACACAGGGAAGTGTCAGACACAAAAATCTGGAAAATGGTTTGTCACCGCTAGCAAGAATTTGTTATAACTATGAAAGGAGAACATAAGAGGAGTTGAATGACCATCTGATAAAGGCATTAAGAAAAGAGTGTTATGAGAAGTCAGGATTTCCAGATGGATTAGAGACAGTTGGACAATATGTTCCATTACAGATATCAGACTGCAATAAAATTTCAATAGGTGCTAAAAAAACGGTGTTCCACTCTAGTTTACTTTGTCAATAACACCCAAAGACAAAACACGAAACATTTTTGAGACCTGAAAATAATAATATAGAATTAGAAAAAGTTTAGGATTATTGTGAAAATTTAGGAACTACACTGAGCTTCAGAAGAACAAACTTCAGAAGAGAAACAGTCTTGTTGCTCTGAAAATGCTGTTGCCTAGATCAGCCTCTCATGATGTGCTAATTCTTTGCAATGTATAGTACGATTAACATCTCTTACTTCTGTCAGATGAAGAGTAAAGGAACAGCAAGGTGCTAAGCAGAAAACTGGGTAGACGAAGAGGGGAAAAACGTTCCAGCGGGAATGGATTGCATTCATACCCAAGACAGTTCAGAAAACTCACATTCCTTTTGGTATTCTCTCTGAATTCTTTTATACAAGCTGGAAAGCATTATACGCCATGCAGCCCAAAATCAATTGTAAACTCTTCCTCTGAGTAGTTACAGATCAGATAAATGTTAAATTTATCTATCCCATGAATTTAACATAAACATAGATTTATTAAGTATTCTTAAAAGTCCAGAATTCATGGATTTATTACATTCGAGTTACTTCAGCAGTAAGACTTGAAGTTTTTATAGTTCTGAAACTGTTTACTTGCATATGAAATCACTCTTAAGCAAGAAGTCTGCAACACCTTACATCATTCTTTTGCCTACAGCAGGCACTGGAAAAAGTGTCAAAGAAAAAAGTATACAATACATATGATTTTCCCTAATTAATCAACCCAATGACTGAGACCTGGGAGGGGGGGGGGGGAGGAAAAAAGGCATATTTGTAAGTAATGGGAAGTTAGTTTGAAATCAGAAACAAAAGCAACCAACAAAAGAAGAGTATGAGCTTCAGTAAGAAAATACTCAAGGTATTTTCGTCATTTCTTCTAATAAAATTTAGCAAGATGTTGTAAGGCATGGAACTGTTATTTTATGCACAGAAGGGTGCAGCGAATTTTTGTGGGCGGGGTGGGGAGGTTGGATTCTTAGAGTTCTTTTGGTTGGTTGGTTTTTTTTTCCCAGGTTTTTCTTACTTCTGGAAAAATCTTAATTGTTTTATTTCATTCTTGCAATAATGGGTTATTTTTTTATTTTTATCATTTATCCTGCATTTACGTGACTAACAAATAGATGTGAAAACTCTCAACAGATCAGTATATAGGGTCTCTCCAAATGATCTAAGTTGGCATTAGACAAAGACTGCTATAAAGTAACGGAAAAAATAAGAAAACCTAGAAACTATGATATATCATTTAGTTGATGCTGATGATGTCTCAAAGGTATTAATTTATCTAGGGTTTGTAGGGGTAGAAGGAGGATTGATGGTTTTGTTGCCATTTACAATAATTGAGTCAAAAGATAAGGGGTGATTTTATTCTTAATCATTTTCCACACGCACAATTAAATTTCTTATCGCTGCAAGATGCAATATCATGCAACTATGCTGAACACCTGGATACTTTTGGCATAATATCCTAAAAACAATCACTGTGCCAAAGCTTATATATCCATATGGCTTTTAATGGTTAAGATAATGTGAACACAGTGCATTTAAATTCTTTATGGCAGACTTCAGTGAAGGAAAATTAAACATATTCATGGCCACCATAAATCAGCCAATGCCCCCTCTGAAATTATTTTCAAATAGTTCAGAATTTTCATTAAACTATTAGAGCAGTTCAGGGAAAACCTACCCTCACTTGACAGAAACATTATAATAAAAGAAATAATGAAAGCTGACTTGGAGCTAGAAGTTTTGCTCAGCACTGATATCTGAAATGCACAATTTGTATTCACTTATTGCACTGCAGCTCAGATAGGATGGCTCTAGTTTCCTGGTTGGCCTATGCAACCTAATTAGAATCATGGGGCATCCACAGCTTCTCTGGGCAACCTGTTCCAGTGCCTCACCACCCTCTCCAAGAAGAACTTATTCCTGATACCCAATCTAAACCTCCCCACTTTCAATTTAAACCCATTACCCCTTGTCCTGTCACTACAGGCCCTTGTAAAAAGTCCCCCCCAGCACCCTTGTAGCCCCTTCAGGTACTGGAAGGGGCAATAAGGTCTCCCCGGAGCCTTCTCTTCTCCAGGCTGAACAAGCCCAACTCTCTCAGCCTGTCCCCATAGCAGAGGTGCTCCAGCCCTCTGAGCATCTTCATGGCCTCCTCTGGACTCGCTCCAACTCGTCTATATCCTTCTGATGTTGAGGGCTCCCTAGCTCAATCCCATCATCCATGTCACTGACAGTGATACTTGTCCCAATACCAAACCCTTAGGAATGTCACTCATCACTGGTTTCCTCTCAGACACTGAGCCGTTGACCACTACTCTGAGCGCGACCATCCAGCCAGTTGTTTATCCAATGAGCAGTCCATCCGTCAAATCCGTGCCTCTCCAGTTTTGAGACAAGGATGTCATGCACAACGGTGTCAAATGCTTTGCACAAGTCAAGGTAAGTGACATCGGTTGCCCATCCTCTATCCACCAAGGTCATGACCCCATTGTACAAGGCCAGCCAACATATTCATCAGGCATGATCTGCTCTTGGTGAAGCCATGCTGGCTATCACCAATCACCTCCTCATTCTCCATGTGAGGTTCTGTAGTTCCCCAGATCTTCCTTTTTCCCCTTTTTAATTAAAGATGGGATTATGTTTCCCCCTTTCCAGTCATTGGGAACTTCACCAGAATGCCACAACTTATCAAATATGGTGGATAGAAGTTTTGGAAACTCATCCACTAGTTCTTTCAGGACCTGTGGATGTATTGCAACAGGTCCCATGGACTCACGCACCTTCAGGCTCCTCAGGTGTCCCTGAACCTGATCCTCACTGACCATGGGTGGCTCTCCATTCTACCAGTCCCTGCCCTTGTGATCTGTGACTCTGGGGGTATGGTTTGTGCCTTTGCCAGTGAAAACTGAGGCAAAAAAAAAAATCATTGAGCATCTCCACCTTCTCCACATCCTGGGAAACCAGCTCTCCCTTTTCCTTCTGCAGAGGGCCCACCTTTTCCCTGATCTTCCTTTCATCACCTGTGTACCTATAGAAGCCCTTACTTAATGCTGAATCTTTCGTGTGCTTCTTCAAAAAAAAAAAAATCCAACAGAAGAAAGTGTTTCTGATCTGCATCACCCTGCTGAATTCTGGAACTTAAGCAGTATCTTGGGAAGAGTTAAAATTCAGAACACACAAGTTACACTGAGTTTCTCCAGCAAGTGTCTCCAGCTCTGAGCAGATGGCAGAAGTTTTTGGTTCTGTCTCCCCTTCTCCCCAGTAAAGAAAAACAATCTCTTTATTAACCCAGTCATTGGCTGTTCAGAAGTGTTGTATAAACACTGCACCACTTCTTACAGCTGTTTGCCTAATAATCTGGGACTGAAATGTAAAAAACCTCCCTACCTATTAAAAGTAAGATTTATTTTCAATAATTCTACTTTCATCTTTATATTTGTACCCATATATGAGGCAGAAATACCCTATCTCACTTCAAGTTTCAACCTTCTCATATCACTATATGTAACAGAGTTCTCTCAGCAGCTCATTACCTACTGAGATGCGGATACGGATCATGTTTCCTTCACACATATGGGTTTTCTTCCAGCTAGTATGTTGTTGATAGAGATCACACATACAATAAAACTAAATCAGGGAACTCATACATACCCTCTCAATCCTGACCTACACAGAGTGAAACACAATTCTGGGTCATAAGAGTGATAAGAAAATGAGAAGTGGTAAATGCTCCAAAGAGGTACTCATTCTTTACACAGGAAAAGAAGTTAGGTACCTTTTGAAGAAAACATTACTGGCAGAGTAATCGGATTGGGAATAATTTTCTCAGTGGGAAAACTGCTTTTAATTAAGCAGTACTTGTTAGCATTTCCAGACACAGACATAAAACACAATTAATACACAAAGACTTTCCCTCCTTTAAAAAGTCTGCAAATTTACTCTCTGTACTAACTGCAAGTGAAAAAGCTCCATGACTGATCAGCAAGGATTCTAAGACATCAATATAAAAGTAGATCAAAGCTTTATTCAAAGGGAACTTTACCTTCCTTTTTCAACGAGCAGCAGGACGTCTATTTTCTCTCCATTTTGCATCACACTACTAATTGCTGAAAACAAAACACATACACACTCATATGATCTACACAGACTATAGACAAATGTATGCATGAACATATAGACATATTTTTTCAAAATGATCTTCAGTGATGAAAGGCGCATGGAAGTCTTAAACATTTCAAAGAAAGAATGCTGCTGAAAATAGAAAGTCCAAAGTACCAAAATACACTCACGTTTACAAGAAAAATTAATAAAGAAAATTAGAAAGGCTAGACAGGTATTTTTAATGTGAAAACATGCTAATTTTATATTAAAACTAAACTTGTAAATACATGTTTCAGAAGACAGTGTTTCAGAAGTAAGCTGGGGTTTTGAATCCATTAATTTACTTGCACCCCAGTAGTTGTAGATAATTAAAATAACATAACGTGAGTTATATGCTATACTGTGAAGATCACTGCCACCCTTCTTTACACTGCCCTATGCTATTCCTGCTAAAAATAGCACCCTGCGAAACACCTGCATTATACATAATATAGAAAATACATCTGGATAGTTTCCAGTAACAGTGCTTATAAAACTATACGAAAACCAGCAAAATAAATGTAACCTGTTTACTAATTCAAAATTCTGAAAAGTTAATTCCTTCAAAGTTTAGGTCTTACACATAATCCACATCTCATCTCAGTTAATTCTCAGACACAGTAAAGTCCTGAATATCAATAAAGCTTAATAAACATATTCAGATGCATATTATATGTTGGTTTTATATCACACATACTCCTGGCCTCATTTGTATTTACTGAGTCAAATATCAAGAAGTTAAGTGACTATGGTTCCAATGATGATTCATTATTTGGCAAGTTTCAGTTATACAATTCAGTCTTAATAATGGAGCAGATTTATTTTAGGGAAACCAGAAATCAAAGAAGAGACAGGAGTATGAATATATAGCATTTCCAATAAATAGAACTCTGTTACACAACTAACATTTAAAAATAGAAACCGAAGCAAAAATTACTTTCAACCAAAAGCTAAATATGTTTCATTCCTATATTTGAGATATACACAGATTTTGAAAGCTTGTACCATTAGGGGAGAAGCAATTGCAGTTGCATTATCGAAAATAATATCAAAACCAGTTCTTCTAACTACCTAACCTTTAAATATGAATCAAGATCATATAGTATTTACAAGTTAAGAGATAGCTAGAGGCAAAAAATATTCCTGATTAAAAAAATCACCCCCTTCGTGGTGTTATTCACACCAAATGCAAGATGGCAGTAAATAAACAGTAGAAAGCTCAATGGCATTTAGGCAAGTTCCTGCAAAACAGTCCATAATCTGACAGCATTTACTAAGAGGATCATCAATAATGAGCTAAATTATCTTTTCTATGTTACTTCAATATAAAATCTCAAATTATTTTTACTTTCCAATGTAACATGTTGCTTTGTTCAATGTATAAACAAGTAGGGCAGATATGCTTAAAGAGGATTCACAGCATAATTACAGACAATGATATAAAATTGTTCATAGAAGACCGTATGTATAAATATTCTTATCTTTCCATGTCATGATATTGAACAAAGAATATTTTTAGTGTCAGAAAAAAAGTCTATTTAGTCTGTGAAATAGTTTTCCAAGAGAATTATAATTTTTAAAGTACATCTGAGCTTATTAAAACTAGACCTGTCAATCATCTCAAGAACACATTCTGCAGTGAGAATTTCTGCCCTGTCAAAAACACGAGACAATAATCCCAAAAGGATTATTATTCAATTCTGTACTCTTGTAAGAAAGATACTGCTGCAACTGGAACAAAAATTGTCTTCATTCATTATGAAAATGTGAAAAATCTCTCTAGCGTGTGCCACCAAGTAGGGGAAAAAAAAAAAATCATGATAGAACTTTACCAACTCCATATTTAGATTGCAGTTGAAAGAGCATCTGGCTCATGTAAAGCCATAGTTAGTGAGCTCCCTAATATTTATAACTTTAAAATGTAATAGAAATGTCCTTAACAGTCAATTAATTCCACAGAGGATTTCCTAAGTTCTAGATGTTAAGCAAAATTCTTACTTAGTTCTTGCAACCTCCTTAGATATATGGAATCTTCTTGAGTATTCTCCATTTCAAGACAAAAATAAAGGCTCGACTTCTCTATAGCAAACCAGCCTTTTCTCCACTGATCCAGGTTATGGCAATCTTTGTAGTACAGCTGGCCAATCAGGTCACAGTCTCTCTCTAATAAGCATTCAGCCACAGGGGGAACAAAATGCTACCAAAGAAAATGGGGTGAGTCAGATGAAGAAAAAAAACCCTCTTCCCCTAAAAAGAAAACAAATCAAGATATTGCAAATCTATAAGATTCAAGGATGAAAGCTACAGTAAAAAAAATAAGACTTTCAGATTCAGCATTAATAAACCCATATCTACACTAATTTTAGACTATAAAAATCAAGTATATTTTTTCCATGCATATTCTACAATTGATTTTTTGCTTTTTAAACTACGATTCATTTAATTAGTAATGTGACTATTAGCATTTGGTACTGTATAAAATACAGTTTCGCTTTATGACTTCTATTTCAGCAAATAAAAGAATAGAATTGTAACAATAAACATCATAGCTGACAAATTAATATAGTATATGTCTTCATACTACAGCACCTTTAATATATTCTGAAAGTCAGCATTAAAATGTTGCTTCAATTCATTTTCCTTTTTATTTTATTATCTTGTTTCAAACATTAAATCACAGAAGTTATTTCCTCCTGCTGCACAAAAAAACCCTTTACATACAAGATAGGGCAGTATTCATCAAGAATGGCTTCTCAGAGGATTTTAAGCTAACAATGACATACTATCCTTTGTGCAAAGACACTTGGCCAAACTGGAAAGATAATTATCAGTATTACCTTAGCTATTGCCCAAGTCCATTTTCTTTGTGAGTATGCAGTTTCAGCTCCAAACAGAAAAACACGTTCTGACATTAAGTAGATTTCAAAGGTAAAGATGTCCCTAAAGCAAGCAACAGGAGAACAGCAGCAGTATTTAGTCTTCATAACAGGAGACACGAGTCCCATTTCTCTCTCTATTTTTTCATTATTTCATACTTATGGAATGGAATCCTTCTGCATTTCTCCTCCAATATTACAAGTACAACCCAGCTAATAATACTGCATTCTATAATACAGCAGATCCAAGTTCATTTCAGTCAATCATGTCAATAATACATGTTTAGAGGCTACTGCATTCATTGTTTTTCAGTAATTCTGAAATTAATGAAAATGTTTACATACAGTCATTAAAATTCACACAGAATTTTTGGCTTTTGCAAGTTCATGTGATTTTGCATGTATACTTCTGTGATGTATTCAAAGCATTTTGTTTAGGTTTAATATAAGCAAACCGACTAATTGAATGGGAAGTTGTAAAAAGGTTGCCACATAATCGTAGAAATGTTTGCCCAAAGGAACTTTTAGATGTCATTAGGTCTCATTTGCTCTAAGTGGGATTACCACAAATCAGAACAGCAATGAAAAGCAGTGCAAAGCTTCAAAGATGGAGATGACTATGTTCTCTCAGCAACCTGTTCCTGTTCTCTATCACCCTTCTAACAAAAAGGTTTTTCCTATCATCCAGCCTGAAGCTCCTAGGGCGAAAATGAACATGGTAACTACAACTTCTTCTATCACCTGCCACCACCAAGAGGGGCTTGGTTTTCTTGTGTTTATGACTACCCTTTGAAGTTGCTGTAGCTCAAGAAATTACAAATTTTGGGGAGGGGGTGGTTCTTGAGATTTTTCTTTTTTAAAAAGTGTATAATTTAAACAGGTGGACCCTGATCTTCCTTTTTCAACTGGCAAACTAGTCAAAGAAGAAAAAGCGAACTAGTTGAAATTGGGTTGGAATTTGCAAATTAAATATCTTATTGGGACTCAAGGTCAGTCTTTAACTTATAAATTATGGTTCACCAATAATTGCATCTGTGACCTCTCCCTAGAATCTAAACAGATGGAGTACGTTTTTTCCTTTCAGTGCTGGAAACAGATTCGTCTTAAATCTGGCAAACTGAGCATGAGTCAGTTCTCTCGTTTTCAATAACCACTGTGAAAATTATATGTAAATACTTAATTCTGACTAATAGAATAGACATTTTAAGGACTGATTGTTTCACTACATGAAATATTAAATTTAAGGAGGTTTCTCATAAAAGTACTCAATTGCAGGTAAAGCACAGCAGGAGGTTAGTCAACCCCAAAAGTGAAGTATTCAGACAGCATGTTATTAATTTAGGTATTATCTTGAAGTGGAACCATTTGGAGATGCAGCAAGCAGTAGGTTAGATTCAATGACAAACAAAAATTATATTTTTTCTGGATATCACAAAGCTATGCTAATGCAAAATCACGAAGACCATCTTCCTTTGTATTTTATAGCATCTTGAGGCATCACCATGTTTCATGATTTCTCCCCTCAGAATGCCAGTTAGTAGCTAAAGTCCTTTCTTCCTGTTGTCTTTTCCACAATAGACACTGTTTTCTTTGCAGACACATTTTCTTTGTAACCAGAAGAGTTACAGTATTATACTGTAGAAAGTTCTTGTTATTTTACATACACACACAAAGAAATTTAAAAGGAAGTGTTGTAGAGTTTATTAGACAGAACCTAAGCAGAGTTTAAACGAAACGTAGCCCTGAAGAAATCAAGTATCACTTGGATGCGATTCAGACCTGGGTGATGTTTTTAATGTACAAATGGGATGTGAGCGAGTTATAAAGGAAAAACAAGACCACAAAAATTTATCTTCAAACTAACACGATGTTCAAAAGTTACACTCTTGTCCTCAGCTGCAGAAGAATGGGTTTCAAAGACCAATAGATCTGTAACCAAAAGCACTGTGGAGAATTGTAATCTGTGCATTATTATCAGGAAGAAACAAAGCAAGAGTTTTGGCTTGAGGCAGAGGTCAATCCCAGAAAGAAAAATGAGTATTAATTGTTCAATTTATCATCATGTAACCTTTTAAGCTCTGAGAATATGCATTACAGTTTTAATAAGAAACAGATGTTTCTAATTTATGCTGCTCTTTTAAATTATCCTAACACTTTCATTATATCACTATTTAAAAAAAAAAAAATATCCCCAAATGCCACTTAACACTTCCTTCATGAAGTCAATATAAAACAATTCAGCTTCTTTTCAAAACTGCATGTTCAAAATTCAGGAACAAATGAAAAGCTCTGAAAACCCAGAATAAAGTCTTAGAAATACCAGTTTGTTTATTGAAATATTAATTTGGGAACCTACCCTCTATTGAAAAAGAAGTCCGACTTGTGCACTACAAGACAGATAACTTCATTGACGTCAATCATACCATTAGGAGTAGTGGTTTTATCGTTTTCATAGTAGCTCAGAAAGCCACTTTCCAAAGTGCACCATCTTTTGTTGCAATCTGTGGTTAAAAAAATATTAGAAAAGTCAGTGGGCCTAATAATAGAAATTATCTTTTCCTATAGAAGTTGCCTCACAGGGTGCATAGCTCTGTTGCAACAGTAATACATTTACGATGAAATCTCAGTCTCATTGTCTTCAATGTGCCAGGAATTCAATGTGTTGATACTACTTAACCTACAGGAATTCTAGTACATGGTAACTTAAGAAAGGAATATTTCAAATCTAACACACTTATTTTTACTTTATGAGTACATTAAATCACTTCAAAAGTTAACTTCACCACCGTACAGGGCTTCTACTCCACTTGCTGTGGAACTTGACGGGGGAAGAGCTAGTACACAATACCATGTTACATGTTCAGCAGAAGAGAGTTGAAGAAGGAAAAAGAAAACACACTACAAAAGTCAAACACTGAAAACTACAAAACCAAGCTATTTTGACAAGAGCTGATAGCAAAACGAGTGAGTGAATCATGGTATGCAGTAACCAAAGAGGGCTACTCCTTCTTTCATGTTACTGGAGCTAGAGGCCAAGACGAAGTCAATCTGTCTTCCATTGTTTGGTAATGCTTGGGTGTCCATTCATTGTCACAAGGTCAAGGAAAGCAATTTAAGCCTTTCAAATAGTCTAGAAAAAAACCAATGTCATACATGCCAGAACTTGTATCCATTGCACACTACTAGAAAACACAAGGAAAACACTGCTGGAAGTTCTGTTACGTTACATGATTTTTTTTTTTTTTTTAAATATGCTACCAAAATAATAGATGATGACAAACTGGTTACATGAGGAAAAAAAAAAAAAGGGGAAAAAAAAAAAAATAGAACAACCCTTTCTAGGTACATCACTGGTTGAGCTCAATTCTTTCCTACTTCAGGCCCAAGTGTCAGATAGTAATGAAATTGTACAGAATTTATTCCTGTATACTGGGGGAGATAAATGGATACATCAGAATCAGGCGGTAGCTATAGCCATTTCAGGATGGCATGTTCACATTAGAATGAATTGGAGATCTCTCCTGTTGCTATTCACATATATATACCTGGCAAGGGTAAATTCATTTAGCAACACTGTAGTTTACAGAATGCTAACATCTGTAGGGTGCTTTCAACATGTAACAATTTACAGTTGCTGAGCATGGATAAATTACCTATTTAAAAATTCTATCTTCAAATAAATTTGAATTATATATATTGGAGTATCTAGTAATTGCCATCTATACTTAAACAAACAACAAACAAGCTAGAGGAAACAATCTGCAGAGCAACATAAGTACTATTTAGCATATTTAATTAAGATTGTATGTCTACTCCCTCTTATGAACTTAAACTATGAATACAGCACAACATAGCAGATTAATTACTATCTGCTGCTCAAAATACTCATGCATTCATTCTAGCTTACATCTAGTTCTTAGAATATAATCTGAGGTGCATCTATTCCCACCACTGCAGGGAAGCAGGTCCTAAGAGAAAATACTCTTTCCACAGTCTTAAAATTCCTATTTATACATTGCAAATATTCTGGTAACGTATTTGTGAGAATTTGGTAAAATAGTTCTAGAAAAAAAAATAAAACAAAAAGCCAAACTGTAATTGTAGTTAGTCAATATTTACTTAGTACGTTATCTGGTATTTAATTCAATTTGTTTTTCTGGGTTTTGTTTTATGATTTATACATGTTTTATAAATATCATGGTACTATTTTATTAGTATTTATTTGTATCACGCTACTTGCTATCTAGTTCTATCTATATTCTGCCTGAATACACATTTTAAATACTAATATAAACATAAGATCATGGGATTGAAAATGTAGAGGTTTACAGGGAGTTGAGCACAAAACTTGGAGGTTTTGATTGTTCAGGGTTTTTGGTCCCCCAGCTTTCCCCTTCTATCCCCCAAAGTCCGTTGGAACATCAAGGCTTTTAAAGGGGCTCCATAAAACCTTTTACACTAGAAACAGAAGCACTAAATCAAACCCAAGCTAGTAAACCTCTAACCCTTACTTTTTAATCCACTGCATCAGAATAGCATCAGTGTTTG